GGAGGGGGTGGGGGCGGCAGGGGGCGCTCAGTCCCAACTGAGGCGAGGGAAGGCGAGGTGGGGGCGCGGGGCGCTGAGGCATCGGGCGGGGCCCTAAGCAACGCGGAGGCCAGGGACTGAGTAGGTGCTTGTGAGGAAGGGACCTCTCGGTGGTCTCCTTTCCTGCTCCGCTCGCCCCCACCCCCATGCCCTCTTCCCAGATTGCGAAGGGCACCTGCAGCCCCGCCCTGGAGAGAGGTCGGGAAGACTGGCTGTCTAGGGAAGAGCGGTATTTGAGTTGTCCCGAGTGTGACCTCTGCAGGGTGGGGACGCAGACAGCGACCCTCTAGGGAGTGTGTGATGACGTGTTTAACACGGCTGCCTTCACTTTGACAGCTTTTCAGGACCTTTTTGGGTTCCTAAAGATTTGAGGTTTGCTTTCTTTCTTTTTCTTTTTGTCCTGTCTGGTGAGTTTAGTTTGTCTGGTTTCGTTTGAATTTAGGAACCCGTGGCCCTAATTATTGTGGCTGAAAGTATGTGACAGAGAAGTGCTTTAGGAAAATCGGGAAGTTTCCAAGAAAAATCGGGCCTCAGGATACCATCCATTGCAAGGCCAAACAGGGGAGAGTGGGTCTTAAGATTAAACTGATTTTTATGCAGGTGGCTTGTGGTCCGGTTGGCCACCAGGTGGTGTCAGCGGAAGTTGCAGGCAGAGCTAAAGATTGGCTCCTTCCGATTTTTTTGGATCCAAAATGTCAGTCTTAAGTTTCAGCAGCACCAGCAGACGGTGGTAAGTTCTTGGAATCGCCGTGTGTGTGTGTGTGTGTGTGTGTGTGTGTGTGTGTGTGTGTGTGTGTGTGTGTGTTTTATTGGGCAAGTGGTTGATCTAGTTAAATTTCAAACTTTAGCTTCCTTCATAGTGTGTTTGTGTGTTGTTGGGCAAGTGGTTGATCTAGTTAAATTTCAAACTTTAGCTTCCTTCATAGTGTGTTTGTGTGTTGTTGGGCAAGTGGTTGATCTAGTTAAATTTCAAACTTTAGCTTCCTTCATAGTGTGTTTGTGTGTTGTTGGGCAAGTGGTTGATCTAGTTAAATTTCAAACTTTAGCTTCCTTCATAGTGTGTTTGTGTGTTGTTGGGCAAGTGGTTGATCTAGTTAAATTTCAAACTTTAGCTTCCTTCATGGGGAGTTTTCCTAGTAAACCCCAAGAGGATCTTGGGAGCTACTTGGAGGATTGGTGCAATCGATGCAAGTTGTTTAAAGTGTTTATAGGGCTAGACCTGGTAGTATACTCCTGTAGTCCTTGCTACTCAAGAGGCTGAGGCAAGAGGATTTTGTAAGTTTTATAGGTTCAAGGCCTGCCTGGGCTACTTAGTGAGGGCTTGTCTCAGAATTACAGGGAGTTGGAGTGCTTCAGTGGTAAAGCCTAGCATATGCTGGGTCCTGTTTACTATCTAGCACCAAACAAAATAAAATGGCTCAGAGAGCCCAGGGTATGAAAGAAAGATACAAAAAAAAAAAAAAAAAAACAGGGGAAAGATAACAGGAAACAGGAAACTTACTGTTCTAATTTAAAAGAGGAAATAGGGTGACCACATATCCATAAAAGAGACTACTAAGCAAATTCAACTAACATCATCATGAGGACCAAGATGCCCAGTGCCAGTCGGAGAAACCAGTAAAAGAGCACTGGGTATATTTAGTGGGAGGGCCAGTAGAACTTCCTTCTCCTGTGAGAAAAGCTCCTTCTTAGGAGCTTTTCTGATTTCTAAAGCTGCCTATCATTGCCTTCTTACCAGCCAATGTACACAGCTTTCTTTCATACTGTTTTAGGAAATTGACAATTTGTGGATTTCCAGCAAACTCCTTAGCCATGATCTACCGTGAGTACTGTATGTCTTTACTTCTGCCCTTGGGGGATATTTTGAAGCTGAGCTTTAACCATGAAATTCTTCTATGGAGACATTTTAGTCAAGGTGGGAGGGAAGTTCTTGCTGGAGTCTCCTGTTAGTCCAAGTACTGTTTTGTGAGATATGCTGAAAACAACGGGAGGTTTATTTGAGCTACGGGGGACTGGAGAGATGGTGTGAGGGAGGAAAGAGATGATAATGAGGCTTGTCTTCTGGACAGACACTATGTGGCGTTGTGCTTTGGAGAAGTACGCATCAGAACAGACCTACAGAAGGTTTCTAGCCTCTCTGCCCCGTTCTCTCAGAACACGGAGGTGGAGCAGAAGGAGCCATCCCTTAGCCCATCCTTGTTGAAGATCTTCTGCCAAGTGAGACTATTTCTATGGTTTTTTTTTTTTGTTGTTGTTGTTGTGTTTTTGTTTTTTGTTTTTTTAGTTTACTTACTTTATGTGCATTGGTGTTTTGCCATGGGTGTCAGGTACTCTGCAGCTGGAGTTGTGAGCTGCCATCCGGGTCCTCTGGAAGAACTGAACTGTTGGTGCTCTTAACCACTGTTCCATCTCTCCAACCCTTCTATGATTCTTTTTAAAAATTAAGTATTTTTTTTTTGTGTGTGTGTGTGTGTGTGTGTGTGTGTGTGTGTGTGTGTGTGTGTGTTCGAGCATGTGTGTGCTCAGACGTGTGTAATGACCAACGTTGAGGTAGAGTTGGTTACAGGCAGTTGTGAGCTGCTTTGTGGGGTTTGGGAATTACTCAGGAGGAGTACTTGACAAGCCATCTCTCTGGCCCTACTTCCACTATTCTCAACTGTATTCCAGGGATGGTTGGTTGGCTTTGGACTGGGGGTGGCTTTTTTTTTTTTTCTATTTGGGGGATAAAATGTTAAGATCTTCCTTCCTTTCACAGCTGGGAAGGAAAAGTGATGCTTTACAGTGATTGCTGCTGGTTCTTTTTCCTTCCAGCTATTCTCCATTCACGTAGAGGCCATAAACATCATGGTTCTCAAGGTGGCCACCTCTGAGTCCCTGTGGCACATCCAGATGAGCAGAAGCAGGTTTCTTGTGGATAGTGATGGGAAAAGGTAGGCGGGGGGTCTGTAGTGTCCCTGTTTGGAGTTACTTTAGGGAAATTGAATGTCAGAGCCTCCTTACCTAGGTGTTAGGTTCTCATTCCATGCAGTTTTGAGGAGATGCCAAGATTGGGTGTTTCTGCTTGCCTTGTCAATTCTAGCCAGTGGATTAATGAGAGATAGTTAATCTGTTGTGAGGAAAAGGATCAGGAGTTTTTTTTCTTTGCTTTTTGTTTTTGAGACAGTCTCACTATACAGGCCTGGGTGTCTTAGAACTCCGTATGCAGACTAGGCTGTCCTTGTACTCACAGAAACCTTCCTTCCTTTGCTTCCTGCGTGCTAGGACTAAATGCTTTTATTTATTTTTTTCTTTCCCAGTCTAATCTGTCAGGTGAACCTATCAAAGATCAATAGCAAAATCTTGAAGAGCGGTCAGCTGGTGAGTGTCATGATTATTCTGATAGTTCATTTCCTTTTGAGCATAAGATATTAAGAAGTTTAGGGTGCTTGCATTCTAGATTCTCTAACCATTGTAGCTCTGTGTGTTTTGGGGAGACTGTTTTGTCATGTATAGCCATGGCTGGCTTGGTGTGTAGCCCAGGCTGACTTTGAACTCATGGTGGGTCTCAGTTTCTTTGAGTACTAGGATTATAGGTATGTATCACCACACTGGCTTCAGACCATTCCAGTTTGATCTAAAACTTCAAAACTTCCTACACAGGAGGATACATGCCTAGTAGAGCTCTCACTGGCCCTGGACCTGTGTCTGCAGGTGGGCATCAACAGTTGGCACCTGAGGGCTATCACTGTGGATGTGTGGACGCTCCATGCTGAGCTCCATGAAGGTCTCTTCCATAGTCAACTACTGTGTCAGGCCCCAGGCCGGATATCCAAGTCTGTTTCTTGTTCAGGTAGAGTTCCAGTCTTTGAGCTTCTTGTCTATCTTATTCTCAGGGATTATTTTGGAAGGTGAAAAACCAGTGTTTTCACCATTTGTTCAGGTGTGAGTCTTTAGACACCATGACCTTTGACTCTTAGAGGAAATAGGCATTTCCTTGTTCTGAGTCAAAAAGCTAACATTCAGTGGTTACGTGCCATGAGTTAGATGTGTTGTATACTGTGTGTTTTATGTACGTTTTCACTACATTTTCTGCATTTTACAAATAAGGAAAGAACTCTTGAACCGTTAGCTAGATAACTTGCTGAGACTTTGTAGTTAGTAAAATGAATGTAAATTGTTTAATGCTAAGTCCATATTCTTTCCATTATACCTAACTGTTCACCATACTGTTTATGCTTTTGGAGTCTGGGGAAGGAAGTACACCAGGTTTCCAGATCTGTGACGGTATTTTGGCCTTGTGTCCTTTTAGGCATTTGCTTAGCTTACCTTTTTATCCTCCTTGATGTGTGAGGATTTGACCAAAGAGGACAGGTAGAGCTGGAAGGATTTGAGACTGTTAAGGATTGATGGTTCTTACTGATATTATTGATTCCTGTATCCAGATTTGACAGAAAACCCTGCTGAACCAACTCTGCCTGGCCTATACCTCCTCCAGCAACTGCCAGACCAGGTCAAGGTGAAGATGGAGAACACAAGTGTGGTGTTGTCTATGAACAGTCAAAAGAGGTGAGGCTGCACCTGTGCCTGTGTCACAGTGATAACGTGCGTTGTCTGCTAGGTCTCCATTACAGTCTTAGTATCTTTTTTGAGCTTCTCTGTGGGGAGGAGGGAGGAATGGGACCAGGTCTCTCTGATGTAGACTCTTTATCTCCGGTTCAGGCACCTGACTTGGACCCTGAAGCTGCTGCACTTCCTGTGCCACCGTGATGAGGACCAGCCACCCCTTCGCAGCTTCACAGCCAGATATGATATGGCACAGATGAGCACTGAGCTCATACTGGAAGGTTCATGGAAGGGGTTACTGTTACTAAAGAGAAGGGAGGACCAGCATTCTGTGTTTATGCCCAGCATGGTTCCGTAATTTAATATCATTGTAACTGGGGTAGGGAAGGAGGGGCCATAATGAGAGAAAATGACCCTAACTTACAGGTGTTGATAACGATTTATTCATCTTCTTGCCTGTATCTGTCTGTCTCCTAGTTTTATCTTGTTTTCAATTATGTGAAGGAGTTGGGGATTAATATTGTCAAAATATATTATATGGGATTCTCAAAGAAGTAATGATAGACATATATTATCTTATGTACTATGTATGTGTATATAAAAGCTGGATGTAATGGCAAGCATCTTTAGTCCCAGTACTCTCAGAGTAAGATGGGAGGCAGAGACAGGGGAATCTTCTGGAAGGTCTTGGATTGTTGTGGTGATAGAAAGAAGAGAGATCCTACTTCAATAACATGGAAGGAAAGAATTGAATCCAGGCCTCAGGTAGGCCCTTTCTTATGTACATATCACATTCATACCCATTCATATATTAGACAATACTCATGATAATAATTAATAAATAATAAACAAAGTTTACAATTAGGGCTGGTGAGTTGGCTTAGTGGGTAAATGTTCTGGCTGCAAGCCTGATGACCCAAATTTAATCTCCACAGAGAACCAACTCATCCAAGTTGTCCTCTGACTTCCAAATACTCACTGTGTCATGTATACACACACACACACACACACACACACACACACACACACACACACACACACACTCTCTCTCTCTCAAAACCAATGAATAAATA